ACTCTGATTTCTCCGACTGGTAGAGGGGGATTGCCTGGAGGTCGAGGCTGTGGTGGTGGGCGATCATGGCCTTGGTTAGGTGGGGCTTGGTTCCGGGGTGGTGTATGCCGGCGATTGTTCCTGGGAAGGTCGGTTCTTTGCCTCTGTTGAGGGCGGGTGTCTGTGAATCGGCTGAGGCGGCCCTGACGTATGAAGGTCTCGATCTGATCTTTGAGGTTAATACACTCGTCGGTGGTATGGCCATGGTCTTGGTGGAAACGGCAGTATTTGGACTGATCTTTTCGAGTGGAAGGGTTTCGTGAGGGTAGGGGCCACTTGAGGGTGTAGTCCCGTTGGATCTGATTGAGGACATGCTCCATGGGGGAGTTGAGTGGTGTGTACCGCTCGAACCGACCGGGCGGTCGGGTCGAAGCCGACCGGTCGGCTCGGTGGGATCGGTCATTATAGTGGGGTGTTTGGCTATTATACTGGGCGGTCCTGGGTTCTGAGTCTTTCCTCTTGTCTCTGGGGGTTGGATTTTTAATGATCGGCTCTTGCCGAGCGACCAGGGAATCTTCAGCGTTCATGTATTTCTGGGCTTTGGATAGTAGGGCTGCCATGGTGGTTAGAGGGTTTTTGGAGAGGGAGAAAAGAAAATCGGACGACCGTAGGCCGGCCATGAAAGCCGTGAGGATGACCTTGTCGTCGTTCTCAGCTACTTGAAGGGCTTCGGTGTTGAAGCGGGTGACGAAGCTGCGGAGCGACTCCCCCTCGGTCTGACGAATGTTAAGGAGTTGGGTGGCTGGGCGTCTCTGACGCTGGGCTCCGATAAAATGGCTCAGGAAGGAGTCACTGAGGTGTTGAAAGGTGGAGATGGAGTCCGCCGGTAACTGGCTAAACTACAACCGAGCTGATCCCTTCAGTGTCACAGGGAAAGCTCGGCACATGATCTCGTTAGGGAAAGCATGGAGGATCATGAGGGTGCGGTAGGTTTCCAGATGGTCGACTGGATCCGTTGTGCCATCGAAAGAGTCAATGGTGGGCATTTTGAACTTGGCAGACAATGGTTTGTCCCGGATGGAGGCAACAAAAGGCGAGTTGGCGGTGACTGAGGGCTTGTGCTGAATGTTCTGCATAACCCCTTGTAGTTGGAGCTTCATAGCTCGGAGTTCAGCGTCCCAGAGGGGAATGTTGTCGTCATGGTCGGTCAATGGAGGCTGGACGCTGTTGGCTTCCCCCTCAGGGGCTAGTGCCACGACTGACGGGCGTGGGGGTGGAAGTGGTAGGCTCATATGTGGAGGAGGAGGAGGTTGTAAACATTCTGGGTTGAGCAGAGGGGGTTGTGGAGCAGTGTGGACCGGGGTTCTTTCTTGGTTAGGTGGAATATCTGGAGGTGGAGCGGGGTGGTTTCTTTGAAGTAAAGCACTGATCAGGGCCTGGTTTTGCTCGGCCATGCGGTTAATGCTGTTGGTAAGTTTGATGATGTACTGTGGTGGGTTGTTTGGATGGGGAAGGTCTGTTTGATGATCGGCGGTATTACGATGAGAAGCCATGGATCTAGTCGTGACCATACACCTGGACGAGTGAGAGAAAAAGGTAACGGGGAGAAAGGGGGGCTCCGGCGATAGTGAACACAACTAGTGCACGAATAAACCACAGCTTCCCACAGACGGCGCCAACTGATGATGTAGTTCGTCCTAGGTGGATGGGTCGGGCTGGTCCAAGCACTTCAAGTTCCGATCCAGGCGGATGGTTCCACCAGATGACCTGCAAGCAAGTCCAAAGGGGAACGGGGTAGTCCCCCAGTGAACCCTCCGGCGAGCAAATCAGTAGTGGAAGAAAGAAAAGTAGGTAGAGAGAGAGAAATAGAAAAGCTTGACCTTCCTCTTGTCTTTGATTCTTGCTTATATCCTTTGGTAATCATTTCACTGTCCTTTGCGACGTGCCCCCTTCCGCCGAAAGCCTGTGCCGTAGCTTACCTTGTTCAGGGTGAGGGGGCTCTGTTCCGACGGGGAGGTGTTGTCGTAATAAATGCTGTGATGGGCTGCATTAATGGTGATGTGTTGTCGTAATAACTCTGCAGATTTTTGTCTACTGATGTGGCCTGTGTTTCACCTGCTATGTGCCCGAATGTCATTGGCCCTCCATGCCCAGATGGCCTCCAGTTGTCTTGGGCTTTGCCAACCGGGTTATGCTGTGGGTCCCAAGCGATGGGTTTGCAGTTGTTTACTGTGGGCTGTAAGCCTTATGGGCCTATCCATGTCAAATATAATATAAAAAAGTAAAAAAAGAAGATATTTAAAAAAAAATATATTTAAAAATCACAATTCACATATATAGATAATTATAAACACAATTCGTGCATAGCACGGGTGATATGCTATCTATATTATATATTAAGCAAAAGGGAGTTTTTAAACCCAAGGCCTGTGGGAGCTTCAATATCTTAATCCTAATTTTCTAATTTTTTGATTTAAAAAAAAAAAAACTCAACATTTATTGATTTCTCCCAACTCAACCTCAGCATTTATTGACATCTCCCAACTCACAATCCCTTTTGACTTCTCTCATAATTATTGTAACACCCTTTTCAATTTCTCCCATACACTATGGTTACACACAAAAATAAATAAAAAAAAGATAAGAATTTAGCTATAAATCTCAAAAAGATATAACATTTAAATTTGAATTATGATTTAATAATATAATTATGTATTTTTTTATGTATATCTATCAAAATTTTAAATCACTTAATGGGAAAAATTAATCAATTTTCCAAAATTATTGATTTTTAATTTACAAAATAGATTAAAAAAAACTATTGACTGGTTTATTTATTTAATAATAAAAATATTTCATAATCTCTCTCTCCTAATCTCTCTCACAAATTTTCAAAAAAAAAAAATTAAAACTTGCATTATTTTTCTCTTCCCCAAAAAATCAGATAATATTTTTTTATTAAAGTTGTAAATATCTACCTATGTTTTATATATTATATTATAACATAACAAAAAAAACTAAAAAACTAATTTTTTTAAAAAAATTTATCTAAATAAACTTTAAATCAATAAAACTCACATGTCTATCACATATCTAACTCACATCATAACTTACCTAAATAATAATAATTAAAGACAAATGGAAACCACAGATAAATCTATACTATCTATTAAGCAAAATGGGGTTTTTAATCCCAAGGCCTGTGGGAGCTTCAATATCTCAATCTGAATTTTCTAAATTTCTTATTAAAAAAAAAAAAAACTCAGCATTTATTAATTTGGTCAAAATCCCCTGATCAGCATTTATTAACTTTTTTCAATCCATATGTCTTTTCACATGCCTGCATTTATTGATTTGATCAAAATCTCCTGATCAGCATTTAAAATCCCCTCATACAAATAATTATAGATACAATCCGTATATAATTATTGTAGTACCATTTTCAACTTCTCATATACACTATGGTTAGTGATAAGATTGTTAAATTATTTTTATAAAAAATCTTAAAAAACATCATTTGTATATTAAAAAAAATGTAAAACATAATTTATCCCGTGCATAGCACGGGTGATATGCTAGTCTATACTATATATTAAGCAAAAGGGAGTTTTAAATCTCAAGCCTTGTGGGAGCTCTAATCTCCTAATCTAAATTTCTTGATTTTTTGATTTAAAAAAAAAAAACTTTAGCATTTATTAACTTCTCCCAACCCCCAAGTCTTACCCTCATAATAACACTTTAATGCATTAAGAACAAGCATAAAAAAAATTCTTTGAAATCCAACACATATAAATTCCTTGAAAAGTCCCAACACATATGATTGTTATCCCTCATAATAACACTTTAATACATTAAGAACAAGCATAAAAGAAATTTCTTGAAAAGTCCAACACATATGATTATTATCAAAATATTAAACTTTAATATAATATAATAATAAAAAAATTTAATTCTTTGAAAAGCCTAACACATATAATTATTATCAAAATATTGAACTTTAATATAATATAAAAAGGAAAAAAAGAAGGCATTAAAAAAAAAAAAGACATTTAAAAATCACAATTTAGATATATAAATAATTGTAAACACGATCCGTGCATAGCACGGGTGATATGCTAGTATTATATAAGGAAAAGGGGGTTTTTAACCCATAAGCTTTATGGGAGCTCCAATATCCCAATCTTAATTTTCTATTTTTTTGATTTAAAAAAATAAATAACCTCAGCATTTATTGATTTGGTCAAAATTTCCTGATTAACATTTATTAATTTTTTTCAAACCACATGTCTTTTCACATGCTTGCATTTATGGACTTGGTTAAAATTTTCTGATCAGCATTTAAAATCCCCTCATACAAACAATTAGAGATACAATCCATGCATAATTACTGCAGTACCCTTTTCAACTTTTCTCATACAATATGATTAGTGATAAGATTGTTAAATTATTTTTATACCCCTAAGCCTTGTGGGAGCTCCAATCTCCCAATCTTAATTTTTAAAATTTTTTATTTAAAAGAAAAAAAACCCTCAACATTTATTGATTTAGTCAAAATTCTCTGATTAGCATTTATTAATTTTTTTCAATCCATATGTCGTTTCACATGCTTGCATTTATTGATTTGATCAAAATTTCCTGATCAGCATTTAAAATTCCCTCATACAAATAATTAGAGATACAATCCGTGCATAGTTACTGCAACACCATTTTCAACTTTTCCTATACAATATGATTAGTGAAAAGATTGTTAAATTATTTTTATAAAAAATCTTAAAAAACATAATTTATATATTAAAAAAATATAAATATTTATAATTAATAGTTAAAATTAATAAACAAAAAGAGAAAATTATTTATATTGTCTCTTTTCCTTCTGTTCTACAAATTACAATTTCAAGGTTGGATTGGTCCAAATCCAAACGTCTATCATTTTATTTATTTATTTATTATTATTATTTTCAAATCACACACATGATAGCATCTCTTTTCCTGTGGAATTGGCAAGACCATTTTGCAAATTGTAACAAACACAACAAACCAAATAGATGATACATTTAACTAGTGTCGGGATAAGTAACCACAGCCATCAAATAGTACTAAAATACCAAAACAACGTCGTAGAATCCATAACATTCAACAAAAGATAAGGTCCAGATACTAGGCAGTGGAAATAACAAAATCTTATGATATGAAAAAAGTTCTCCAGTGCAGCTCCATTTGTGCTTCACTTCAACCACTTAGCGATACTGAAAACAGAGAATGAAAAAGAAAAAATTGCATTGGTTACATATACAACCAATGATTCTGAACATTAAGATGATATTAAAATCACAGACATCATATACGTAGTACGCTCAAAACTAGGTTTATTTAACTTCAAAAGCTGCAACAACAAACCTGCTTAATTATGTGTATTACTCGCTATGAAGCAGCAGTAATCTTCTCCATAAAATTAATTTTTTGTTTGTTTATTTTCATCAAACTAGTTTTTATTTTTTGAAAAAAAAACAGAACAAATTTTAAAAATGAAACCAGAAAGAGTTTAGAATGGGGTAGTTGCACATTTTAAGCGAGGCATATCATGTGCCGAAGAAATGCTATGAAAAACATAAATTCAACTTCATACTAGAATGGAAAGCACAAAAATAAAAACTTCAATGGAAATTCCATGCTAATGGTAAAAACAAGCTCGAGGCAGCATTTTTCTACAGGCATAAAAAACTAACCTTGATGAAACCGATTTCCTTGGCGTTGCTGCGGAAGCACTGCCTGCAACACATGAGACCATACTTCCTGATCAACCCATGAGGGTTCCCGCAGACGCGGCTGACACACAAAATAAATAACAATGAGATTATCTAAAAAAATAGGAATTGCGTTTTAAAACATAAAAACAATCTTTTAACAACAATTTCAGCACAGATTATGTCTGCAATTATTTACAAACCGTACATCAAACAAAGAATGTCCTGATTGAGAGTCCTGTTTAAATAAAAAGAAAAAAAGTACAGTTTGGGCTTTTGCGTCACTTCCGGTAAGCAAATTTCGGTTAGATTTAACTGCAGAAATGCTCATTTTCCCCCCCTCTTATATTATTTAAACGTAAATAAAATAAAAACTAACGGGTTGTCAGATGGGGTCATCAAACCCTAGTTCTTATAGAGAAATATTACAAGAGAACTCAAACAATCACTTCACCCCAGGCCACTTCTGTGATCCAATGCTTTTTCGAACGAACAATCAGATTCCTTTAATCACTACCAAAGTCTTTCTAGCAAAATTCACACCAAAGCTTCACCTTATTGTGAATGCATTACTTCCCAAAACTTTTTCACAAGACCGACCTCAAAAACAAGTATTGAATTAAATAAAGACGTGAGTGAGACTATAGGATCTCACATAACCCATCACTAGCTAGTTGCCTTTGATAAAAAAAAATAAAACAAAAAAAATTCAATCTGATATTGCTCAATGAGAAAATGAATCAAATTTTACAAGATCAATACAAAAAAAAGTTCCCAGAATTTAGAATATGTGCGAATGAGATACAACAAATGACCCACAGCCACAACACACCAAATACTGTGAAATGTTGTGGATATTTCTGATATATATATACCTACATACTAGCATTAATCATTACTAACAAATATTAGAAGGGGATATGAGTGCAAATGAAAAATTATGAGGTGCAAGTGTGATTTGTATCGCTCCATATTTGTATAAATTTTTTTTTCCGTCTCACTAAAATGTAATTCTTCCATATTAGTATCCATAGCTCATAAAGCAAAATCTGTACGAATTGAATGTAAATATCAAAAAATAAACTGACCAAGTACGCGATCCAGGGCCATAGGTCTTGGGATGCGAGTTCCAGATGTTCGAGTGACCCATCTTCTCTCAGAGCTGTGCAGTGTTGTTCTTCAAAACACTAGCTAGATTCGGAGACGATGACCAAAACTGAGGCGCTTTACTACTAAAAACCCTAATTTCCCGAAACTCGCTCTTCTAATTGACTGGACGCGAAATGTCCAAACTACCCTCAAACGAGCCATGAAATTACATTGGGTGGGCGTATATATACACCAAAGCTTCACGTTCCTTTCTCTTCTGTCTTGGACACAAAGCTTCCTCTCTCTCTCTCTCTCTCTCTCTCTCTCTCAATAAATCGAAGAAGAAGAAGCTGTTAGCAATCAGTGAAAATGAGTCGTGGAAGTGGAGGAGGCTACGATCGCCACATAACGATCTTCTCTCCTGAAGGTCGTCTCTTCCAAGTCGGTAAGCCCTAAAAATTTTCCACATTTCAATGCCTAGTATTGTTTTTTAGAACTCGATTAGGGTAAAAGCAGTGTTTTTGGTTTGTAAAATGAGAGGCTTTTTGGATGAAACAGAGTACGCTTTCAAGGCTGTCAAATCATCCGGAATAACCTCCATTGGAGTTCGTGGGAAGGACTCTGTCTGTGTCGTTACCCAGAAGAAAGTCCCGGTTCGTATACAATTTAACTGTAATTCAACTCAGGCTTGATCTAGGATTTTGCATAAATTTTTTTATTTATTTTTGTTGAACTTGGGTTTTGGGAATTATTTGCAGGATAAACTTTTGGATCAGACTTGTGTAACCCACCTGTTTCCTATTACCAAGTACCTCGGATTGTTGGCCACTGGCATGACAGGTTATTTTTTGCCTTTTCCAGCTCTTTTGATGTGTTGCGTAAAAACTTCATTTGATATCGAGTACTCTAATAGCCAAACTCAAATTTATACTTCAAATGTGAGTAAAAGTTTGTTAAGTGGCATAATTGTAAATTTAGAAGCTATAATTTGAGTAAAAACAAGGGTCTTGATTGATTTGGGTCAAAAATTGAGTAAAACTCATTTTGGTATGACTTTGAGTAAAGGAGTGGAGAGAGATTTTGAGCATTTTTACTCAAATTTAAATTTGATACGAGTAAAAGGTAAGGATTGGAGATGCCCTTATTTCATGCAATTTGATAGGCGTAGATAAACGTGAATCAGTGCAAAAGCTTTTGTGGCAACCTTGTTAAGTTTTTTTATTTGCCTTTGAAATGATGTCAATGCATTGTCAAACTACCAAGTGCAATATCCTCTTAGTTGGAATACTTTATATCTAAGCCTGAAATTGGACTGTAGAGTTGCTTGGAATAACAATGTTGATTGCAGAATAATCAAAATTCCACAGCTTTAAAGTACCTTTTTGCAATCTCTCACTACAAGTGGGTGAGAATGAATATTCAGGTAGCTTGTCTACACTATGCAGGACCAAATGTAGCATAGTGACAAAATCAGACAATTCTTTGTGGTTTTTCTTTATAAATTAGAACAGAATCACCTAGGTAATGCTTTTCTTGTGTGTATTTGAAACTAGAGGGCTATTTCACCTATCTTCACAACCAAAAACTCAAATGTTTGTTCAACCTAGTGGGATAAGAATTTTGAGAATTAACAACTTTACCAACTAAATTTATGTTCTCCAGCTTCTCTATTGTTCATGCTTATTGTTTTTGTAATGCATGGTTCCTACTAGTTGATAATCAGAGATATCAAAGTATCGCATGAAACTAGTGAGGCAAATGAAAATCAAGTTGATTACTTGGCTCCATGTGTACTATTGCTTATGTGTCCAGTAGATTGAGGTCTTCAGTTACACAACCACCCTCCAAACTACTTGCTTTACATAATTAAAAGGAGTGTTTCTGATTTAATCTTATCCCTACAACTTTTCTGTTCAGATTTCACTTAGACATGCTACACTTGGTCTACATGAAATCAAATGCAAATAAAAAGTGGAATCTTACAAATAGTTTTGGTGTTAAAAAAGAACATGCCTAACAAAAAGCCATGGCGCACCTAACCAAGTAACAGACCTCCAAGCCACACATACTGTATAACCGACACTAGAAAATACTGAATTGAAGCTCTTTCTACCTTGAAACAAAAACCCAGATAAAAAAAAAAGGAAAGAAGAAGGAAGTCTGAAATTAAAATATGTGAGAAATAGTGCTTCCAGAGCTCATTAATGATGTTTTCATAGATCGTCAAAGTGAACAATATATACAACTACAATTATAGAACATACAGAACTCCACACCAGATCCTCCACTCAACCTGCCTCTTTTAACAAGATGATACAATTGATCTTAATTTCTCACCCAATTGCACTCTGTTATTTTCTAACCAAGTAACAGACCTAACAGCTGTAACAGAATTAATGCCCACTAACTGCTTGATGAATGGATAACAGCTGGGCCAATACCAATTTGCCACGTATTGACTACGCATCATCTTTTGCCTAAATGAATCAGAAAGATTGAAAAGTTTGAACGAACCAATTGAAAATTCTGAATTCATGAATCTCCTTTTGACATGCAAATTTGTGTTATGTGACTAAAAGTTCATGATTGTTTCTAGCATTGGACGGAATCATCTTATTTTGAGTGTAAAGAGAGTTGTTCACATTTTGTTTGAGGGTGTATATGAAATATACTGGACTTTTTATCTGGTATGAAGAGACTGTCACAGAGTTGTGGAACGCTTGAGGCATCAGCTGATTAGACTGCTTGTAACTAATAGTTATGCACTTAAAACTTCAGGAACTTATTCTTCTATTGATCCAAGTTTTGTTTCCCCCCTCTTCGTCTGGTTTCTCATACTGCAGAGTTTGTTTGGCTTATGAGTTATGACTTTGATAGATGTTTTAATGATGCTTCTTTTGTTATTTTCAGCTGACGCAAGGTCATTGGTGCAACAAGCAAGGAATGAAGCAGCCGAGTTCCGTTTCAAATATGGATATGAAATGCCTGTGGATGTCTTGGCAAGATGGTTGGTTATTTCTGCTCCATGTAGTAGATTTGATGTTAACTGCCAAGTATTGCCTTAATATGGCATCTCATAAAGATGCATCCTATTTCATTTATGCCAAGAGTGGCATTAATTTGCTTACTCCTATGTTAAATTTAATGTTTCAGAGCTCATTCTGTAATGCTAGGATTTTCCAATTACTCTCTCATGTGTTTTTGTCTTCTCCTAGCTAGTGTTATTTTCTCAACAGTAAACTTTGAGGATTGATGTTCAGTTTGAAATTAGTCCATAGTTTATTGAAGCTACTTACAAAGAATTTTATTTGGATTTTGATGTTATGTTGGTTTTTGACGACTAAGGAATTTGTTTACAACATCTAATAATACAATTATAATCGACTAATGTGCTTTACCATGATGTCAGGATTGCAGATAAATCTCAAATTTATACTCAACATGCCTATATGAGACCCCTTGGACTAGGTTTGTCCTTGATCCCTTGTACACTTTGTAGAGGGTCTTGATTGCATTTCAAAACTTGGTTTAATTAAAAAAGTGCTGAAAGTTCATTGTTTATTTATTTATAGTTATTACTGTTAAGTTTGCCTTGCTTTAATTCTTCTTTTTTCTATTGTCAAGTTGCTATGGTTTTGGGTATTGATGAGGAGAAGGGGCCTCAACTCTTCAAGTGTGATCCGGCTGGCCATTTTTTTGGGCATAAGGTATTTGGCAAGTAATTTCTCTTTTAGCTATCATTAACTAATCAGTTTCAGACTCTCGCTGTTTGTTTTTAATTTTTGTTCTTGAACTTTATTTTATTTGCACCATGGAATATGAGTCATGTGGCAGCATGAAGTTTGATATGCACTAAAGACTGATAACATAACAATAAAATAGGTTTTAATATATTGGGGTAGCAATAGTAACACATCTATACTTGACAACTAGCTAGGAGAATTTAGTATGCTTGTCTAAAGATAGATGTGGCTTGGGTATTAGTATAATTGGTTGAAACATGTATTCTTTAAGATTTGGCATCTTCGCGAATGACCTAGGTCTTAGATGTTTAAAGTTTTCTTAATTCATTATCTGTGGTTCAGAATGGTTTGTAGATAAAACAGAAGGTTCTTGAATTGTGCACTGAAATTTGGTTTGATCTCTCATTATTTTGGAATGCACTGGAGCTTGTGTTTTAGGAAGTTGTTGTTGCCTAAATTTAATTCATTGCAGGCAACAAGTGCTGGATTAAAAGAGCAAGAGGCTATCAATTTTTTGGAGAAGAAAATGAAGAATGATCCTGCTTTCTCCTATGAGGAAACAGTACAGGTACAATTATCTTCTTTTATATAAGTTGTTGAAGATAAGGCTCATGAGTTAGCAGCCCCTGCCTTCTTTTGTCTTCTTGTTGCAATGCAGTTCTGTTCTTTTGTTTCTAGGGTTTAGTATTTGTATATTTATCGCTTCGAATTATGCATTTCGGGCTATATACAAGTGTTTCTAATTAATGGATCATTAAAACATGTGATGCTTTCGGAAGTTTAGCCACCATGCTCACCACAACACAGCTGAGAATTTCACTGCATTTGTATCTTGGAAAAAGGGGTTGACTAAATTCTTTCATCATATATCAACTAGCTTTTGGAGTTTCTAGTGTCTGGGAGTTTCTAGTGAAACAGAAAATGGACAGGATGCTGTTTCTTTTTGGTTTAGATAATCTACAGCAATAATTATAATGTTTTTTTATTTGGTATGGTTTCTCTCATTGCCTATTCAATTCTGTTCTTTTTTTTTTGAACATTTATGTTTAAACAGAGAATTATGCCTTTTGCTGGTAAAGTAAAAAATGGGCTATGCATTAATAGGACTCACAAGTTTGATCCCAACCAAGGTTCTGAAAAGCGGTTGCGGTCGCCGTAACGGTGGCGGTGACACGGTTGCGGTTGCGGGGTGTAAAGGCCGTAGTATAACGGTTGCGGTAATCGGAACCGTGAATTTTTTATTTTTCGCACAATTTGAAAAAAACTTACCGATATGTATATTTTTTTCCATGATCATATTTATTGGGTTAAAAATAAATATTGATCAATTTTTGTAAATTTTTAAGTATGATCCAATATATTTCATATTTTTAAATCCCTATAAATTGAGTTTTTTACATTTTATTTTAATAATTAATGGCTTTATATTATACAAAAAATCAATCACTAACTATTATATATAAGATAAACAATGACAAAAGTAAGAGAATAAATAAGAGCCTAAATATATATATATATATATATACATATTTTAACCAAGCCAAATAGATAATGACCATACTTATTGTTATTATTATTTTCAAACAATATATAGATAGACACACACAAACAAAATGGTTTAGTGATAGCAGCTGAATAGAATAGCATAGGTCTAACAACTTCAACAAATCAATAATATGTTTTTCATCTTCCCTCGTCACTCTCTCTTTATCTCTTGCTCCTCTATTTTCTCTCTTTATCTTCCCTCTTCTCTCTATCCCTCTTCCCCAATTTTCAGCTTTTTTTGTATGTTTTTTCGAAAAAAAACAGTTTGGAACCGTTACGTAACGGTGCGTAACAGGCCGTTACTTAACGGTGCGTAACAGGCCGTTACTGCTGCTACGGCACCGTTACGACCGCTACGGCAGCCGCTACGGCCGACACACCTATGAATCTCAATGACATTGCAAAAGCGGTCGTAACGGGTGGCAGTAACTGCCAAAACCGTTACGTAACGGCGTTACGTAACGGTTGTGGCCGCTTTTTTAAACCTTGATCCCAACATACTGTTTTTATCTTACTTTGGTCAAGCCGTAAAGCTTCTAATGCTGCTGATACGAATAACTTGTCTGCACTTCTAATTTGATTTCCAGATAAATCTTCTTCTTGGGGACTGTTTACTTGTCTCAAGTTTGATATATTAATTTCAGAATTATATGTGGTTCTAATATTGCAAAGTTAATTTTATTCTGTAGACTGCAATTTCTGCCCTGCAATCTGTTTTACAAGAGGATTTCAAGGCTACTGAGATTGAGGTATTGCCATTTTCTTAGCAACTTCCTAAGTACTTATTTTTCTTCATAAGGTACTCTACAAGTCATTAACAAATTTACTTTTCTTCAGCAATCTAATTTAGCCTAAATCATCTCACTCATTCTCTTTCTCTCTGTGTGATATGTTCCAATTCAAAGGTCATCACTTATTTTAATTACTATTTTATGTTGGTTTGGTGGTGTCGTCTTTCAGCTGAAGCCATCCTTGCTTAACACAAGGATCCTCAAAAATTGATAGTAGGGTATATCATTTCACTTGTGTTTTAAGAAATTTTAATCAACTTCACATTAGGATGTACTTAGACTATATTGAGTTTCCTGTCTAGCCTTTGTTTTTCAATGCCAACAACACATAAGGCTCCTTTGAGGTTGATCGTGCAGTTCAACCACTGATTAATTTCTTCCACTAAAGATTGCAGGCATTAACTAAAGATAAGGAAAATGTGATTCTTAAAACAAGCTCATAGTTCAATTCAACAATAATGAGAACCTTGTTGTGACTATCTCTGAAAACAAGGGCATAGTGCACAGGGTTTGAGCCTATTTGGGTCATCAGCAATACAACTAACACACAAAAATTTCTCTGAAAAGTGCATAGAAACACATCATTCTGCATACTCTTTTTTTGTTTTTTTCGCATAATTTTTTTTTTTGCATTTGTATTGTTTTCCATGGGGTCATCATCAGACATAGAAGCTAAATCAAACAGATGCATATAATTGAACTAAAAAGTTCAAATAGTCACAAAATGTAAATATGCATTTATATTTGGTGCTCATTTAGCACATGATTTGAGATTTGGAGTAGGAGTTCAACAAAAGAATTGTGCTCTGAAATAATTCGATTTTATGTTCTATAAGTTGCTCCTGCTTTTAGTTTCCCACGTGCTAAACATGTCATTGGTAATTTTGGGTTCTGTTAAAGGAGTTTTTCCTACTTTCAGCATGTTTTTAATGTTCCCAACACGATAAAGTAGGTATGATCATTTTAATAGGATAATGCGGAACATAGATCAGATATGTTAGGTTGACAATTCTCTGTTTAGTATCTTATCTGTTCCCCGTGGTGTGCCCAGTGTGGGGAGAGTATTTTATGTAACGAGTACGCCACATGGCTGAGCTAATGTGGAGTACCTTTCCGTTTCTTGTTTGTCATGTGGTAAGAGTTGGTCCACAGAGATCTCTTTGTGCTTGGCCTGTAATGCTGAATGTTTGGCCACATCAAATACTGGCCCCACTTTGTGCTTGGCCCGGAGTGTTGAATGTTATGCCATATCAAACCACAGCCCCACTAACCTAACAAACAAAGCAGAGAAAAGTACCCGACGTCAGCTAGGCCACGTGGCATATCCATTACATAAAACTCTTTCTCCCAATGTGGAAAACCATTCCATATGCAGGCTCTTATCACTTTCCTTCGTCTTCTTGTTATGCTAAATACTCTTTTCTAGAGTATGAATTTGGAATGGCATTTGTTCAGTTTATTGTGTATATTTTTCTCAAATCACTTAAATGATTCTTAATGTTTGGTAGGTTGGAGTTGTGAGGAAAGATAATCCAGTTTTCAGAGTCTTGTCAACTGAGGAAATTGATGAGCACTTGGTTGCCATAAGTGAGCGAGACTGATCAACTCTAGACTCTCTGATGCTGCTTTGTGAAATGTCAGTGTTGGTACTTGAAACTATCTAGTTATGCTTGAATTGAATGTGGAAGTAGAAGTTCCCCTGGATATACTTTTTTAATCATCAAAGTACAAAAATTATGTTTCAGTTTAAACTGTTCCTTGTATTGCACACGATTTTTATGGGATAACATGGTTTCAGACTGTTTTTCTGCACTCCTGTATTTTTGTTATGACCATGTTTCAAAGTAGGCCCTGACAAATTTTTGCTGTGTGCACGTGTGCGTGTGTATGGTTGTGTTTAGCCACTGATGTCTCATGCTGATGGTGGTGGATTAGTAAAGTTGATCACCTATGGAATATTTGATTACTCCACAAGTCCGAGTTGTTTGTTAGCCCTAATATGCTGGAAGAGGATCGTGTCTTATTATTATTATTATTAGTAATTTTTTGGGTTGTGTTATCCAGGTTGGGTTTAGATTTTGATTAGGGTTACCCTCTCTTTCCTGGATTAGTTTTGGGAGTGTGTCAATTGATCTCCAGATGATATATCATATTATTTAGTCTGTGGGTTATCCTTTTTGAGCATTGTGGCTCCATTTCTGTCTCTTGTTCTGTATAATTGCATGCAAGTTTGCAAGTGTTCCTAACATTATTGGTTTTTCTCAAGCTAGGGTTTTGAATTTACCTATTTGAGGCATGAATATTATTATAATTTTACAGGGGAGATTACCTGATGGGATGACAACTGGTATCTTATCTGCCATAGTCTTGTGTCAGTTGAAGTCACAATTAATCCCTTCATCCAAAAAGAAAGAAAAAGAAGTTGTTTACAAATTACTTGTTTCGAAGTGTAGTCTTAATCTAAATTTAGTTAGAGGCTACAGTAGGGAAGAGTATTATTGCTAGTAATGTTTGGCTCGACTTGTGTTAGGTTAGTTAAAGACTAGTTTAAGATTGAGACTTGTTATATAAATAATTTAAACTTAAATGTGTTTTAAATTTTTTTAAAATTTTAATTTAAATAAGTTTTTACTCAGTTTAATGCTTGACTCAGTTTGTAATCCTTCTCGTTACAATCACAGGTAGTTAGGTCAATGGATTCTGATAAGTACTATTCACTCAACTCTATTGATCTCTCAAATATTGGGGGGGGAGGGTTTGGGGGGGCCTCCGGGGTCTAGGGAGAGTTTACCTCCTGCCGAAATTTTTTGGGTACTTTCGTGATTCTCATGTGCTTTCGTGTAATTTTAATTTTATACTTATGAATAGATGAGGGGGCGTCTCTTTTAGGTTAAGAGAGAATTGTATTTTTCTGATCATAGTGAAATCGTAGCAGCCGTGAGGTGAATCACGTAAATCTTTGTGTTTTTATGTGTGTGATTTGTTTGATTTGTTAATTTCTTTCTTGTTTGTTATTTCGTGTCTCGTCGATCTTAGTTAAGCAAGGTCAATTCCTAACAACAGCTTGGGTTGTGGGTGATAGGCTTGGGATAAAGGTGGGTCAAGGCTGCTTTTGATTTTTGGCTACATCTGCTCTGCTTTCAAGCATTCAACCTAATTATGTTTGAAGTGTTTAAAATGAAAAATTATAAGATAAATTACAAATTTACTTGTTGAGGTTTGTTTAAAGTATAGACTATTTCTTGTGATTTGAAAAATTATAAATACTCTTTTATTAGAAATTTTTAATTTAACAGAATTAACTAAAAAAATAAAATTTATAATTGTTCTCTTATACAATAATAAAATTATTTAAATTATTAATTAAAATATATTTCTAACATCATTAAAAATTGTTAATTAACTTGATAATTTATTAATAAAAAGAGTGATTTTTTATGAAATTAAAAATCTTATGGGGTGAAATGTAATTTTTAAAACTACATGGACGATTTATATTTTAATAAAATCTCTGTAATTTACCCAAAATTATATTATGCTCCGTAGGTAAATACATGTGGTGTCACGGGTTGAATTTAATTGGCTAAAATAGTAAAATTCACTACTTTCATTTCTTTTTTTAGAGACAATAGCACACTTGTCTTAATATAAAAAGTTTTAAGTAATACCCTAAGACCCTCAATAATTAAATAACTTTGGTATAATCCAATAAATAATGTTATATATATCAATTAGTGCATTAATTAATATGTCAATTGATGATGTGACATAATTTAAGAGGTTTTAATATTTGTAATGTGATTAATAAATAGAGTCAATAATAATGTTATAACTAATATTAATATATTAATTAATATATTAATTAATACATATAATACTACCGTAATCCAATCAGAGCAAGATTGATGTTGTCGGTAGACCATGAACTACAACGCGTCTTGTTTTCCCTCTTCCCCACTCAAGCCAATACTTTAGACGTGTCTGACCCAACATCGTATATTTGAAAGTGAAAAACAGAACTTTAGGCATCTAAATCTGACCCAACAAAAAGAAGAACAAAAAAAAATAAAATAAAATAAAAATAAAATATTAGAAAGTGAAAAAAAGAAAACCTACGTTACATAATACATTTTCAATCATAATTTAAAAATAATAATGAGTGATAATAAGACATTACATAAAGTATAATTAAAGACATTTTAAATCATAATTAAAATAATAATCACAATAAATCATAACTAACATCATGATAAACTATAATTAACATCACAATAAGTCATAGGAAATCTTTCAACTGCTAAACGAATGACTCGATCCAAGAGCCATCATTAACTTTTTAAAATACTCTAAGATGCATTTATCATTCCTCTATCTATATTTAACTTTTTAAAGGATTTTTAAAATCAACTTGATTCAAGAATTACCATTAGTCTTGTAAATTTAGGTAGGACTATCATTGCCTTCTAAAGTTACTGTTAGTCTTAAATTTGAGCTAAATTTCTCTTATTTCATTAAAGCCAAAATTAGATTGTCTAGTGGAGCTAACAATCAACCAACAAACAATCAAATGTCAACTAATAAAAATTGTATCCAAATAAATAGTTGTTAAATCAAACATAACCTAAAAATGAAAAATAAAATGTCGCATTGCAACTAGAAATTATGATAGGTCTGAAGTGTCGTGTGATTGTATGTCTATCAAATGAATATTTTTCTTATTTTTCAAATTATATAAGTATTTAATCCGTACTGAAAGACAAATTGAGAGAGTAATATTGAAAGAGAATTCTGTAATGTAAACTCTATATTCAGAATCAAGATAGAGGCTCCACCTCACTAGTGGTGGGATTAGTGATGATAAATTAGTAGTCTATAACATTGCTCTTATGAATAGATGAGGGGGCGTCTCTTTTAGGTTAAGAGAAAATTGTATTTTTCTGATCATAGTGAAATCGTAGCAGCCGTGAGGTGAACCACGCAAATCTTTGTATTTTTATGTGTGTAATTTGTTTGATTTGTTAATTTCTTTTTTATTTGTTATTTCATGTCTCACCGATCTTAATTAAGAACGGTAAATTCCTAACAAGAGCTTGGGTTGTGGGTGATAGGCTTGGGATAAAGATGGGTCAAGGCTGCTTTTGATTTTTGGCTACATCTGCTCTGCTTTCAAGCATTCAACCTAATTATGTTTGAAGTGTTTAAAATGAAAAATTATAAGATAAATTACAAATATACTTGTTGAGGTTGGTTTAAAGTATAATCTATCTCTTGTGATTTGAAAAATTATAAATATTTTTTTATTAGAAATTTTTAATTTAACAGAATTAACTAAAAAAATGAAATTTATAATTATTCTTTTATACAATAATAAAATTATTTAAATTATTAATTAAAATATATTTCTAACATCATTAAAAATTGTTAATTAACTTGATAATTTATTAATAAAAGGAGTGATTTTTTATGAAATTAGAAATCTCATGGGATGAAATGTAATTTTTAAAACTACATGGACGATTTATATTTTAATAAAATCTCTGTAATTTACCCAAAATTATATTATGCTCCGTAAGTAAATACGTGTGGTGTCACGGGTTGAATTTAATTGGCTAAAATAGTAAAATTCACTACTTTCATTTCTTTTTTTAGAGACAATAGCACACTTGTCTTAATGTAAAAAGTTTTAAGTAATACCCTAAGACCCCCAATAATTAAATAACTTTGGTATAGTCCAATACATAATGTTTTATATACCAATTAGTGCATTAATTAATATGTCAATTGATGATGTGACATAATTTAAGAAGTTTTAATATTTGTAATGTGATTAATAAATAGAGTCAATAATAATGTTATAACTAATATTAATATATTAATTAATACATATAATACTACCGTAATCCAATCAGAGCAAGATTGATGTTGTCGGTAGACCATGAACTACAACGCGTCTTGTTTTCCCTCTTCCCCACTCAAGCCAATACTTTAGACATCTCTGACCCAACATCGAATATTTGAAAGTGAAAAACAGAACTTTAGGCATCTAAATCTGACCCAACAAAAAGAAGAACAAAAAAAAATAAAATAAAATAAAAATAAAATATTAGAAAGTGAAAAAAAGAAAACCTACGTTACATAATACATTTTCAATCATAATTTAAAAATAATAATGAGTGATAATAAGACATTACATAAAGTATAATTAAAGACATTTTAAATCATAATTAAAATAATAATCACAATAAATCATAACTAACATCATGATAAACTATAATTAACATCACAATAAGTCATAGGAAATCTTTCAACTGCTAAACGAATGACTCGATCCAAGAGCCATCATTAACTTTTTAAAATACTCTAAGATGCATTTATCATTCCTCTATCTACATTTAACTTTTTAAAGGATTTTTAAAATCAACTTGATTCAAGAATTACCATTAGTCTTGTAAATTTAGGTAGGACTATCATTGCCTTCTAAAGTTACTGTTAGTCTTAAATTTGAGCTAAATTTCTCTTATTTCATTAAAGCCAAAATTAGATTGTCTAGTGGAGCTAACAATCAACCAACAAACAATCAAATGTCAACTAATAAAAATTGTATCCAAATAAATAGTTGTTAAATCAAACATAACCTAAAAATGAAAAATAAAATGTCGCATTGCAACTAGAAATTATGATAGGTCTGAAGTGTCGTGTGATTGTATGTCTATCAAATGAATATTTTTCTTATTTTTCAAATTATATAAGTATTTAATCCGTACTGAAAGACAAATTGAGAGAGTAATATTGAAAGAGAATTCTGTAATGTAAACT